GCTTTGGAAAATGTAGCCTGCTAAGCTTAGCTTCCTGCAAAGTAGCTAAATACAGTCAAGCTATTGTTAGCTAACAAAATGAAGAAAATGCCATTTTCATGTCAAATGGTGGCTGCAAGTACTGTAGGTGGTGCCAATCCAAAAGGGCCAACTTTGCATCAAATTGAAAATTGTGTCATTGATTTACTTCTGCATTTTCTCTAATTGATTAACGACTATTTAATTGAACTTTAAAGGGATAGTTCATCCAATAATGTAAATTATTTCATCATATTACCCACTGGCTTTCATTGAGCATTTCATTATTCATTATATTTAAAACAATCCTCTTTTGTGGTCTGCAGAAAGGGTTGTCACCTCATAATGGTTTGGAACAACACAAGGATGAATGATTTATGAAAGTTCTTTTTTTGTTTTGAGTGAACTATTCCTTTAGTGGTCAATTTTAGCTCAGATCCTTTTCATTCAGATAAGAAATGTTTTGTTTAAGCTTTATTAACATTTTGTTAATTGAAATAAAGCTGAAATAAAAAAACTATACATATTAGATGAAAAATGTAAGCTTAAACATATTGGCAACTAACTAAAGCACTAACATTGCTAACTAATAAAATTGACAAAAACACATAATACAATTACTACAACTTATACTGAAAAGAAAACAGAATATATATATATATATATATATATTTTTTTTTTTTTTATTATTATTATTTTTTTTTTAAAGCCAATTATTTTTTATAACCTAACTGATATTTGTTGAATGTTAATTTAAATGTTTAGCTTTTCATTTACTATATTAGGAGTTTTAATGGAATTAACAGTTGCAAACAGATTATAAAAAACCTAAATCTGATTCTAAATATGTTTGGAGGAGCTGTGTTTCTTAAGTTGTTGCTTGGCAACAATACAGTAAGTCTGCCACTTAAATTATTTGGCAGAGTACATAGTTAATTCCTATTTTTAATATTAATTGCATCTATTTATTATATATTGATGTCTCATCACATTGCTGTTTATTGCAAGAAGAAAAGTTCTGTTTTAATAAATTGTTGTTATTAGTAGTAACTGGGAAAGATGACTGTACAATTAATTTGTCAGGAATTGAAAAACAAAGATTGAAACTAAAACAAATAGTAAAATGTAAGCAATATCACACATAAATCCGAGCAAAAACACTTTCATAGAGTGTTAAACAGAAGTATCTAAATGTTTATTTTGATACAAAAATGAAGATATAAAATTGAATCAGGCATCCCAGCATTACATGAGAGAGGGAATAGATTCCGAGAGAATGCGTTTATTGCCTCAGTTTGTTCTGTTGTAAGGCTGTTTGCCCAATACAGTATGACATAAAAACAGGCATGTCGTGCAACACTGCTGGCAAAAATAGCTTGTTATTTGAAAAGCTACACAATTTTGAAAACAGCCAAACTTCTGTCACGCTACTGAGAATGCAGTTTAGTTATTAGTGTCGCTACTTTTAGTTAGTTACGAAACACTGATCAGAAGCTAGCTGTGCTCTCGCTGTCCCTTTCCATCTCTAATCTCTGTCATGTATTTGCCCTAATCTTTCTCTTTCTTGCTCTCCAGTGTTCACTCAGCCCACCTTTTCAATTCGGTTGTATTATTGTTTAAGAAGAGTGTGTTTGTTGTGTGTGACTTTATGTATGTGCGTGTGTGTGTGTGCGTGTGTGTGTGTGTTGTTGTGCAGTATGTTTGGTCTCTAAGGTTTAATTAAAGAGCAGCCAGAGAATCCTGTCAATGGTCCCAAGACTCCCATCGGAACCCTAGAGTCATCCTCTTCTATTTTACACTCCACAGAATACACACACACACACACACACACACACAGATGGCCGATAAAGTGACGAATTATAAGAGGAGTGATATTGAAAAAGATGGTTTTTAGTTTTCAGGTTTCCCTGTTTTTACTGACAGGTACATTCCTGTTATACCTAAATTGAGGATATATAAGGATATACCAGACTTAATATAATATTATGTGTGTGTATAAGTATGTATAGGATTTAATTTTATAATTTTTTCCCAATATATTTAGTCATATAGGCTAAATTATAGGGGCATGAACATGTACTGCATATCAGGAATGAGTCCCCCTTTATTGTATACAAAGGCTAAATGCCTAGATATATATATCTTATATGCAACATTTTATCTTTATTGAGCTTCATTTACATAAGGGTTGGAAATGGATGCAAACTAAGCACAGTACTGAGTCTTAAATTATTATGAATGAAAGCGGGAATAATTACAGTGCACTAATAATAGGAATAGGCAGCTCAACTGTTTTATTCCTTTCCCATTTCTGTCTGACCTCCTTAAATACCACATTACATATAGACTACTGGGGGATTTATACCAGAGTTGCTATTGTATTTTTACAGCATTTATCCGTATTTAAAGCGCTAGTGCCTGTACAGGCCCCTGAGCAAAATACCTGCTATGTCTTCACACCTCTGGTTTTCTCTCTCTCCCTATTCCTTTATCTTTCTCTCATTCTTTTTTATTCTCTCTCCAATCCATAGTTCTCAAATTCAAATAGCTTTATTGGCATAACAAAAAGACAGACACACACAAGGCGATGACAGCGCTGCACTAGAAATGCTAATAGCCACATTAAATGAGACTATTATAGGATGGTGATAAAGTAATATCACTGGAGGAGTCCATTCAGCATGATGATTGTTGCCACATTAACGATGATGGTGATGATGATGAGGAAGCATTGTTTTGCTTTTTAAATAGCTTGCCATCCACATTTACTGCACCAAGGAGGTCTATAATACCTGCAGACAGCTCTCTGTTAGCATTCCCATTTCTCCCAATGGCCGTTGCTTGGTTTGAAATCTGCCATCATTACCAGATTTTTTTTGAGCCAATCACCTCAGCTCTGGAGCCAAAGGAAATGACATCAATGTTGAATCCATCTGTAGAGCAGCCATATTTGGTGTTATGATTTCTCATTCAATTTTCAATCTGTTTCTACTCCTGCCTTTTGTAATGTCTCTAATCTGCTCCTATTTGTGTCCTTCGGTGCTGTTATATATGACATTCCTGTCATCTCAGGAGTTGAGATTTAATGCCTCTTTCTCCATTAGTTTTAAAGTTCACTGCTTATGCTTGACCTTTTGCCCTCCATCTTGTCCGGACTTCAAATCTAAACCCACATTAAATCCATTGACATCACATAAATCTCTCTCTCCTCTGTTTTAGCTAACCGTTAAAATGCTTAAGCTAGGCACTCTTGGCTAAATGCTAACACCATTTGAAATGAACATCAAAGTTTAAAGCATCAATCAGCTCTTTCAGGCGATTAGAGGCTTTAAAAAACAAAAGATGTGTTCACGGCTAAATGCATCAGTTCTTAATTAGACTTCATATCCGCACAGATGATTTCATTCAGGATGTGAGAGCTAAAACATCTATTTTTAGTTTGTTAGTCACAACTGACTGATAGAGGCTCTTTGTGTGGGTGTTTCGAGATGTTTTCCTTCACATCACTGTCTCCCTGTCTCTGTCTTATTGATCCTCATAATGCCCTGAACGAGTCGTCTGAGCTGTCATTTGCCTGCAGTATTGCTTTTTTTCCAGGGCTTAGACATAGAAGCCTACGGGAGTTAACTGCTGAGTCATTTAATTTTTAAGCTTCATATAAACTTTGAAAACCATTAATGTTTGATGGGAAATGTTATAGAATTGTTTTACTTGTTTCAGTGTTCTGTCTCAAATGCAATCTTGCTTTATCATTAAAGATCTGGGCTAGAAACTAAAAGGTTGTAAGTTCAATCCGCCTGGAAATCCTTCAGTTATCACCAATGCCAGCAAGATGCTTAATAGGATAGTTCACCTAAAAATAAGTTACTCATCCACAAGAGTAGATGCAAACCTGTATGACTGCACAACAAAAATTAGATATTTTAAAGAAAGTTGCAGCAGTTTTTGGACTTCATGTGTGGGCACAAATGAAGCTCCATTGTCCATTGGTATTAGTGTACTGATACTGTATGGATCATTACTCACACAGAATTCACTTTCAAACCAAGCAGCTTTCTGTTGGTCAACATGCTGAAATCCATGTGGAGAACTTTTTTGCTCTCATGCGAAGATCCCGATCACACAAATTCCTGTTGAAATGAATGCCAAGTTCTGTCATGAAACTCTAGATGGCACAGGCTGATGGGTCGTTAATGCAAACTGATGATATTAACAGCATTAATCTACTTGGCACAAGCTGATTGGTTCATGTTTCATATGCAGCCAATAAGCTTGCTGCTTTACATTTACCGTAAATGGCTGGTTAGCATCCACTAGAGAAGTTCGCAGCGCACTTTGAGAGTTCCTCTGAAACCCTTCACCTTCCCCAGCTCCACCTTTATAGATCTGCTACAGGTTATTCTATATGCTGCTTGTACAGCAGTAGAATGTTCTAAATGCTCAATGCACCATATCTGCATATGTACTGGCAGTAGCAAGTTCATATACTTGCTTGCAGCAGCAGCAATAATCTACAACTACAGCAATAACCAACAGCAGCAGCAGCGTAGCAGATCTTTTCCGCCAAGACCAAATATATTAACATTTTCATATCCATTACCATACAAACTTCCAAGAGTTGTCATGATAGAACTGGATTTCGTGAAATGTTGTTGATCAATGGTAAATGTGACCACACCTTTGCAATGAAGATCAGTGGGGTCCAAAACAACCATTGACTTTTGTTGTATAGACACAAAAACACTGAGACATTCTTCGGATTATCTTCTTTTGTGTTGCAGAGGAAAATAGGTTAGACAGGTTCGCAATGACATCAGGGTTTGTAAATGATGACAGAATTTTCATGTAAACTATCCCTTTAATCCAGGTTGCAGCATTCAAAATTGTACAAATCCATGTGGCTGATATGTGCATGCAAAGGGTAGCAACTTGCACATTAACCTTTGATCACTAACCCTTATCCTTTTTGTTGTTCTTGGCAGGATCAGCAATCATCTGCGTGACCTCTTTAACTGACCCCATGAGGACGGCTGAGGGAGATGGAACGTAACAGACTTTTCTTCTTTACTCTCTACTGCATTTCCACGATAACCCACCAGGGCTGAGCACAACCACACCCCCTCGTCCACCCCAACCCTTCCACAGTCCCCCCATTCCTGTCCTCCCTCTTGCTCCCTGAAAGACCAAAACAAACCAGCAGGACCACTTTTTCTTGTTCTGATATAATAGTTTAACTTTCCTTTGCCCTTCACCCGTGACAAAGCAAAACGGAAGTCAATAAATCGGCGAAGCGAAGAAAGAAAAAACAAGACAGTCATGTATCTGCCCCATGCCTGCAAACGCGATTTGGGCCATGCCCGCAACTCAGAGGACACCCACGCAATTACTCTCCTCTGGTTGGCTCTGTGGATCACCTTGTCATCGTGTCAGCGCATTGATCCCGGCTCCAAATATCCCACCGTCACCACAAACTATGGCAAGTTGCGCGGGATTAAAAAAGAGCTTAACAACGAGATTCTGGGTCCTGTGGAACAGTACCTTGGCGTCCCCTATGCCACAGCGCCAATCGGAGACCGTCGTTTTCAGCCGCCGGAAGCTCCTGGGTCTTGGCAGGAAGTGCGGAACGCTACACAGTTCGCCCCTGTTTGCCCGCAGAACGTGCATGGTGTTTTACCTGAGATCATGCTGCCTGTGTGGTTTACCGACAACTTGGACGTGGCCGCCACCTACATTCAGAATCAGAGCGAAGACTGTCTCTACCTCAACGTCTATGTGCCCACAGAGGATGGTGAGTGTCTGACACAACACAGCAAAGCATTATGGTTATATCTAATAAGGGAGTAGAGTGCAACAGTGCCCATCCACATTTTCAGCAGCCTTGGTTCAGGAAGTATTTTCCCATAGGGATTTTAAAAAAGTCAAGGGGTTATAAGCCATGAAGAAAACCAACCAGCTACGAGGTAAATCACAACATTGCAAACTTATTTTTGAAGCAAAAAAATATTTGAAAATCAGACAAAAAGACAAAACTTTAATAAGGGAAGGAACTACAGTCCCTAAAGGCATTGGAAATGAAATAATGAAAAAAAAAAGATGAGTAAGTATAGAACTATTGATTTTGATTATGGATATGGATATAGAAACAATATATTTTATGTTTATTGCAAAATATGCATTATATACAAATATTATGAACGTATACAAATAGGGAGACTCACCCTAATATGACATTCTCAGTGCCTCTTGGGAATGGGCAGGTGCTAAGAAGTTATTTTGGCACAATCCTCTTGTTTGGATTCTCTGATTGGTGGAGATTGTTTTGCAGAATCATAGGTAATTTATGCAGTTAACAACCTCATAGCTCACAGTAGGTCTGTCTTCAAAGGTTTATAAGTTAAAGAACAATTCCCCTATGGAGAAAATGAATGTGGTTTTTACTTCCGGAACCCAACTGCTGCACTCTATTGAGTAATGGAACCTATAGACATGCATTTTACATGTGCTGCATAGTAGATGCTACAATATTTAGGGATAGTTTGCCCAAAATTAAAAATTGTTGTCATTTACTCATTAATTTTTACTGTTGCTCCAGATCTGTATGACTTGTTTTCTTCTTTGGAACACAAAAGAATATATTTCAAACAATGTCTTGTTTTGTCCATATTATGAAAGTCAGTGGGGTCCAGAATTGTTTTGGACCTCATTGACTTTCCCTGTGTGGACAGAAACAGTTGAAACATTATTCAAAATATGTGACTCGTGCTGGCAAAATGAGTCTGACTGAGCAAATTTTCAAAAATGAGTTATTTTTATTTTCATGTTCTCCATTAAAATACCTTCAAAATGATATATGACTTGCTGGAATCGGATGAAAAAAATGACTGAGCTACAGATTTCGAGAAATATCGAGTTAAAGATTCCAAAGCAAAATCACCTAGCAACGTTGCATGTTTTCCTCCAATTCTTTTCTTAATACTAATTAACCTATACTATACTTTTAATCACAATATAGCTATTTTTATTTTATCTTTGTTATTAAAAATTAGAACAGGTGCAAGTAAGCAGTAGTTTAATCAATTAATCATAATTAATAAATTAATCATCAATTAATTATTATTTAATCAGCGAATGATTCCTCCTTTTCTTTTAATGTATGAGTAACATTGAGACAGATCTATATTAAGACCTACTGCAATGCATGTATCTAATATAATGTTACACATCAGATTTATCCCCAACTATTAACTAAATGTTTATGTAAATGATTATGTGACTCTCGCCAAGACATTAATTATTTTGCAATAATTTACTTTATAAGGAGATCGCATGCTTTCGGAGAGGCGCATTTTACGCACACACTTTGCAAATGTCAGTCAGCGTGATCGTTTTTTTGTTTTCATCAACATGGGTTTAAAAATCATATTTTACTGGTTTGGACTCATGTCAGCGAGAATTCAATATGAATATTCACAAAGCTGGAATGCTGAAAACTTATAGACTACTCCTCTCAGAAAATGTACAAATAAAGATCATTTTTAGATGTTTAACTACTATTTGGAGCATTGGGTTCACTAGAAGAGGGCTTAATGAATTCATTTTTGTAAAAAACTCAAATTCTACCAAAACTGACATTTTTCACTTCCTTTGCCTGTAGCTCAAAATTAGACCGTGCGTATTCCGACTCATTGTGCCAGCACGGGTCACATATCTTTTTTTTGTGTGTGTTCTGTGGAAGATTTAGAATGACATGAGGGTGAGTAAATCATGACAGAATTTTCATTTATGACTGGACTATCTCTTTAACACTACAAAGTACCATACAGTGAAAATGAAATCATTTTCTGCCCTTGAACTTTGGTGCAGCTTTACCAGACCTTGACTAAGGACATGTCCTTGCCTTTTCCCAGTTATGATCAGTCCCCTGCACTTTGGATCAGGACTTGTTAGGAATAGTTTACCCTATGATTCACTTAAAGAGTGAAGCCAGCTGGAAAGACTAAAGCGTTCTGGGAAATTACTTATGCCTCAGTATAAGACGTACATTTATGACAAATTGGGGTTAATTGATGGAGAGTTAACAAACCAAAGAAGTGACTAACTTTTCAGACTGAAGTAAAACCCCTCAACATTTGTCTTTTTTCTTCTCCTCTTCCAGTTCTTTTTTGTCTTTTTTTCTTTTGAGAGAGAGCAAAGTGGACAGATACTCTCAGAGGATGCAAAGAGCTGATTTGCGAGGAGGTGTTTTTCTCTCGCAATTAAGGTTCCAGCCGCCAAGTCGCCTAGAGAAACAAATTATTGACATCAGCAGTAATTTGCAATCTCAGCGCCCTTTTTGCTCCTTTCCTCTCAGTTTTTACCTGGTGTTTTGTGTTTACAATGGTAATTGTCTTATTTAAGCAATTCTTTCTATTATGAAAGAGTGCTTTGTAATTTGCAACCCGTGTTAATGAGGAAAAAGTCATCAAAATTATTACCTCCGTATGTGCACTATATACATGCCAATGCATAGTATATAATGCCTCAGTCATAGCACATCAGCAGCATATTCCAGCACATTGCAGTCAGACTGAACATCTGCATAGGCGTGTGAATGTTTGTTCACAGCAAAGATGCCAGTGTTGTTTTCTTGTTTTTTGACACCATCAGCAATGTGTCTCTTTTCCTTCCTTCTCTTTCTACTCTCTCTCGTTCTGTCTCCCAACACTCATTTTCATCCCACATTATCTCTTTCTCTGCGCCATGTGTCTTTCACAAAGCCCTCTGCAAATCTGCCGATTCCTAGATTCCCAAATGTGCCAGTTTCCATTTTCCCAAATCCCCAAATTCCCTTTAATCCACTCAGTCTCTCCCAAGCTGGTTTGCAATCCTGCGCATCAGAGTCGCTATTTAGAACAAATACGTTATCCAGTGCATTGTGTTTCCACACCAAATGGTGGATTAATTCCTTAATTTAGAGCATGATTAAGCTGTACATGACTATATAAGTTCAGATCTAATAAAGGAGCTCTTTTGTTTAGTCTTGCATATGTAGAGCAAGTCAAGTGCCTTAGAACTGCAGTAAAGATATACAGATTTATTATTTTACAGAAGTGTATGCATGCTGTACTGCAGTTGATCCATGTGAGAGTTAGAAGAGGGGGTGGACAGGAGATCAAAGCTACTATATCAGTTACTATATGTGGGGACCATCTTGGCCCCAAACTGCCCCAGGCAACTTATACAGCACTATATAGTCTCATTATTTGTCTCCCTTTGTTCTTGTTCCTCTGGCTATATATAGTGACATCTGTTATAGCCTCTTTTAGAGTAAACTAAAGCAGAATTCTGAATTCTCAGATGCCACTAGATTTAAATATGTTATGTTTTTACAGGATGGAATTGATTTCCATAACTCCATAAAAATATCTGAATAATCTGAAATATTATGAATTATTTGTATAATTTTTCTTATTCAATATATTTTAAAATGTAATGTATACCTGTGATGGCAAAGCTGATTTTTTTCAGCATCTGCTCCAGGCTTCAGTCTCACGTGATCCTTCAGAAATCTTTCTAATGTGCTGATTTGGTGCTCAAGAAACATTTCTTTTTAAGCAGTCGTGCTGCTCACTGTTTGTGTCGAGAATTAAGAAAATGTTCAACAGAACAGTGTTTAATTGAAATAGAAATATTCTGTAGCAATGTAAAAGTATTTACAGTCTTTTTGTGTTGTCCTTGTGGAATAAAAGTCTTAAAGGGGTCATATGATGCTGCTAAAAAGAACATTATTTTGTGTATTTGGTGTAATGCAATGTGTTTATGCGGTTTAAGGTTCAAAAAACACATTATTTTCCATATAATGTACATTATTGTTGCTCCTCTATGCCCCGCCTTTCTGAAATGCGTCGATTATTACAAAGCACATCGGTCTGAAAAGCAAGGTGTGCTCTGATTGGCCAGCTATCCAGTGCGTTGTGATTGGCCGAATACCTCAAGCATGTGACGGAAATGTTACGCCCCTACCATACTGTGATGCCAACTCCCGGCACGACGAGACAAAACCTGTAAAGCCCATTATAAACGAGGAATTTGTTGCATCCAGTGGAGACATAATTACTGATTATAATGACTTATACTGTCTTTTTACGCGTTGCGTTGCGCATCGCGCTGCGTAAACATAAAACCATGACAAACCATTTGTGATCGGAGAAATGACAAACAACAAGCGCTACTCTACACTGCTCAAAACTCGCGTTTGAATCATCAGTGGCAAATTCCTTAAATATGTAAACTGTAACGAATCAACTCATGGGAAATATGAATAATTAACCATAACTAGTTATAATTAATTATTCATATTTTAGATCCGCTGTAGATATTTAGCTGACCTCTCAGGGTCAACTGTCTTGTCAATTCTAAGAATGTTAATTTCCTGGTTAAGGGAAATAACTTTCTTACTGTACAATTCTACAAAAGCTTGTAGCGTAAATCTGCATGATTAATTAATACAAAACAGCAATAATATACACAATGGCCTGAAGAATATGTGTGTTCATTCAAAGAAAGGTTTTCCTATGAGTTAATTAGAGCACAGCCCATTTCTACTGTGCCTTTCCTATGGGGACAATGAGTGGGTTATTCTACTCACATTCCTGGGGGGTCATAAAACCAGTGATATCATGATTAGTTGTCATGGGGACCAGGGGGCCTGATGTTTTGCATAAATCCTGGCATCCAGTTTACTGAGTGAGGGGACTGTGACGATTTGTTAATCTAATGAATAATTGATTTGTTAAATCAAATAAAAAT